GCTGGCCTGGGAACGCCTTGGCATTCCCCCGGAGGAGCTGGAGGAAGTGTCTGGAGAGAGGGAGGTCTGGGCATCTTTGCTTAGACTGCTGCCCCCGCGACCCGGCCCCGGATAAGCGGAAGAAAATGGATGGATGGATGGATGGTATTGAATGGATTGCCATGAAATCTTATGCAGACGTTCATGGTTCCCTACAGGATTAGTTGTCAAACTGTGGTGATCCCTGATTTTTTTTTTCTTGTTGTAAACATTATACCTTCCTAACGCAGCATGTTAGTTTTGTTGCTGTGTACATGTTAACTTACTGAAGTTATTTAGCCCAAAGCACAGCCTCACAGAGCTGCTAGTGTGGATATAGGCTCCTACTGTTGTTTTTTCCCTTTCTACAGGCAAACAAGGTGTCTTACATCTTTAGATACTAATTTTAGGAATTGTCAGCAGATAGCTGATTCATTACAAAATGTGAAATCTCATAAAGCATCAACATTAAGTATTAGAGACAAAAGGACAACGTATTATGCATTGATACTATGGATATTCTGTGTGTTGACTGACATTAAAGCATATGGTTTCCCTTAGCACATTTATAATGTAAGAATGTTTAATATTTTTTCTCATCAGTGTAATTTCTTGAAGCACTTCCAGAGGTCTACCAGAGGTGTTAGGGTGTAACTTAAGAGGATAAGTCACTGTGAATGGGTGGTTAAAGCAAAGCGATATGATCAGGAGTCTAACTCTGGGAAGTCAAAATTAAGGTATTAAGGTCAAAAGTCATAATTTTGATAAGTGACCTGGGCACGGGAGCAGGCCGGTTACTGAGAAGGACATCCCAGCTAGAGGTAGAGCTGTCACAAGATCAAAAGACAGAATCACATGACCAAGACAGACAGACAGACAGAATATTTCAAAACTCCTTCACTCTCCCTCCTCCATTCTGATTAGGTAGAAGGATTGGAGCTGACATGGCTGATCGGCATTATGAAAACCAGTGGTTCCCAAAGTGGGGTTCAGGCGCCTCCTAGGCTCTTGACAAGGGTTCTGGGAATCCCAGAAAAATGAGACAAAGCATAATTTCACATTTTTTCACTGAACCACGAGGAGACAATGATAGGAATGAGTGTGATCAGAAGTTGCACCCTCCTCATCTTCAGTTTAAACACTGAGTTCTACAAATCATTGAAAATCATATTTTTGAGTCAAGACTTTGAGATAAGTGGTCGCAGTTTGAACTGAACACATAGTGTATATGAGAACTTTGAGAACCACTGAGCAAAGTGATGGGAAGGTTAAATCACTTACTGGTGGCACGCAGGGGACACCCCCCAGATACTCTTGTTATTCAGTGATGTTATGAAAGAAAGCAGCACCGGGAAACAGCTTTGTTATTGCAGCACAGGTCAGAGACTAAGATTATCTTTAGCACTGATCTCAGAGTTGCTTATGGTAAAAACTAAAATAACTCATTAATTTAATATGAATGCTGGGCGTCCATAGTAATCTTTGGACACATTTAACGGTGTATAGAGAGCTCATTTGATAACACCGCCAGCTGGTCATAACTTCAAACGTAGCCCAATTCTAAATTTATCCCTGTTAAATGAGATTAGTTCACCTGTGAAACATATCTGGCTATAGTTTTTAATGTTTTGAATTTGTAAAACTAAACCTGAATATATTAGGCATCAGTTATTCATAAGGATTGATGATTGCTATTTATTAACAAAGGATCAGGGAAGTTATCCGGTTTTCACCATAAATCTTAAATACCTCTGCAGTGTACACACATGACTGTGGGAACAGAGAGCCCGGTATCAATGTTTTGTACAGTAAAATGCTATAATGTATTTTCTTTAGTAATCCTTAGTTTATCATAGAATTGATCCAAGATCTGTGCTACGGATATCTGTCAAGCACACATGGGAATCAGCACAATCAGCACTAGTTGAGCATCCTTGTCAGTACTGAGATCATGCATGCCACCTGTTTACCACAACTGTTTCATGGTGGAGGAGTGTAAAGAATCTGCCAGGAGACAGGAGATAGAGGATGAGAAGAGACTGAAATCTTCCACAGTGACTGCTCCCACAGTGCGTCCAGATCTCCCAGTCAAACCAGAGGAACAACAGACTGGTGTCCAGTGTCTGCTGCAACCTCTGTCAACGTACAAATGGTAAAGCAACGCAGCACGACTCCTTACCGTATTGTCTTCACGATGAAGCGAACGATTACTGCTAGGCCTACACAGCCACACATCACCCCTATCACTACGGCTGTGACTTCACCTGCAGGGAGGAAACAAAAAAGTGTGAAAGGTTAAAGCAGACTTCCTAAAATACAGCAATAAATCAGTTAAATGATTTTAAATGTCCCATGTGGTCTTACCAGGAGAGAGTTCTTGTCCTGATTCTACAACAAAAAAAGATCATTAGAAAATCACAAAATACAATTACTTCCCCAGTATGATCGTCAGGAAAATAACATGTCTGAATACAAACACTTCACAGTTTCCATTCTGCATCAACATAATGGGCTGCGAGGCTCATGTAAGGCTGAAGAGTACGACTACTCCACAGGTCAGTCGTCGTAGAAAAAAAAGATGCCTTATCAAGCTGTTCCACTACTTTTTCACGCGTTTCAGTGTACATTCGGGGAATAGCTATGTCTTTGAAATATTTGCGGCTTGGCAATGTGTATCTTGGATCAACAGTGCGTAGCATTTTTAGGAACCCTGGCTTTTCGATGGTGTATATGGGAACCATGTCCTTAGTGATATGAAACGCCACAGCATCTGTAATTTCTTGCCATCAGGGCACCTTTTTGTCATATGGAGTGGCATTGGAAAATGATGCCGCTAATAACATCTGGCATTTTGCTATTTTAGGTTGCCCCGTTGCACTTGGCTTGTTTTGGTCTCTTAACTTTGAGCATTCTTCCCATTCTACTTGGTGTCTTTGTCACAAATGTTGGAATAAATTAGTGGTGCTGCCACTGCCTGTTTCAACTGACTTTCGGCATATAGCCTATTACGTTCCTTCATAGAGTGCTCTCACACGTAAGCGGTTAATTAGGCGCGCCATCATGTGGTCGGACAATATTGCCTTTTAATTATTCTGCCATTGGTGCAATGACAATGTATCTATTTTTTATTATAATTAAAAATCGCGATACCTCGATTTAAGAAAAAAAATCGCCTTAAAACATAAATTCGAATTAATCGAAAAAATTGAAAGAATCGCCCAGCCCTAGTGACAGTACAACACAGGAGTTCGAAGCAGATTAACTGTGACCTTTTGGAACTTCACATTTGCATTTGCTCTCTCACGTTAAGGACATACTAATTATCCGTTACACTGAGTAATATTTAATAAACCAAAAGATTATTCTAAGTAATTTATAAGCAAATGTCTGACACCTAAAAAAGAATGTATCTGTCATGCCAGTAGTCAACATGAATGGGTGTGATGCTTTTCATATAGTGAGGATCTCCTCGTATGAATGCGGTCTAACCTGCAGAGAAGGAGGTGAAGATGACCCTGTGATTGAGCAGCTGTGTCGTACGGTAGTTGTCCTGCAACGGCATCCTGTCATGCTCTTCAGCTTTACTGGAGTAAAGTATTGTCTCCATCTTCAACAGCTGGAGTTTGAGGCAACAAGGAGATGGATAGAAAAAGCACTTAGCAACAGTAAATACTGCAGAAAATCCAGCCCTAGCAGTGAAGAAGTAAGTTCTCAGTTCACAGTAAACCACACTAATACACAATAATGTAACTGACTTCCATTTCTGCTGCAGTTACATGATGATTGAGTTGTTTTTTCTCTTCTTCTATATAATAGTATAGGAATGTGGTACATGCTGTGCACAAAGCTTTTTCCCCTTTTCATGGGGTCATTCAATTTACAAATTGCTTCGGAAATTACATTTTGGGTGATTTGCGAAAGAGCGCCGAACTCAAGAATCTAAGGCCAATAATTAGCAGGTGTAGGTTGACATACAAATAATTGAATGATTGTTTTAAATGAGGGGTTTAAGGACTGCATTTTTAATGTACTGTATGCACCAGAAAATATTTCCTTCCATGTTGGAATACGGTGGAGTTTGAATCACGAACTATAAAATGCTATGGATCTACGTCTGTGTGACTTAGATTTATGGGCTGATCTAGAAAATTTTGTATGTAAAAAGTAAATGAAACCACTAGTTCTATGAAATAATAAACCCTACATTGTTAAGAATCACATTGTTTATTTTGTGTAAAAATGCCCCTGGCCACGACCATCTCTGCTGCACGGTGGTCCACTGAGGTGATTGATGTACTCCACAACAACACAATCAGAGAAATGAATGCAAATATTATTCTGTATGCTCGTGATATTAAATAAATCTAATTGACCAATATCAAGTATAAAGTACCAGGAAATCTTTAGTTATAGTTAAGGCAACAATTTGTCATTGTTTCTCATTTTGCTAACAAGCATCACATTTTGAAACTGGCAGGCATGGCACCAGGGTTGAATAATGAGATTCCAAGGGTGGCTGGTGCCACCCCTGGCCACCCCTTGGCTCTACCCATGCTTAGATGAGCTGATTCTTAGCTTCTCACCTGTGCCTGTGAGATTTGAACCCTTTCGTGGAATAATGTCCAGATAACACTCTGGTAGCAGGGCGGTGTTGTTAGGGAGCCATTGTAGCGATAGTAGCGTCCCAGATCCTTAGGGAGCAGGGACTGGACATCGAAGCCTGGGATGAGCACTTTCTGGTCTGACAGGAGGAAAAAAATCAGGTTGAAACTGTCATGATCCTGCGCATACGGGAAGGAGATGAGTGGAAAACAGTGTTCGACACCCCAGTAGGCCACTACGAATACTGGGTCATGCCTTTTGGACTCACAAACGCCCCTGCAGTGTTTCAAAATCTGGTCAATGATGTGTTAGGAGATATGCTGAATAGATTTGTCTTTGTATACCTTGATGACATTCTCATATTCTCCTCTTCTGAGACTGAGCACAGAACCCATGTCCAAGCCGTGCTGCAACGCCTCCTACAGAACCAGCTATTCGTGACAGCAGAGAAATGCTGTTTTCACGTTAAGACTGTCTCCTTCTTGGGATTCATCATTTCCCCAGGGCACATTGAGATGGACCCTGCCAAGGTCCAAGCGGTGTCTTCTTGGCCTGTCCTGACCACCCGACAACAGACACAACGGTTTTTGGGTTTCGCCAACTTCTACCACAAGTTCATTATAGACTACAGTTCCATTGCTGCCCCTCTTCATCGACTCACATCCAACACCAGGCGTTTTGCATGGACCGAGCAGGCTGAAGAGGCCTTTCAGACACTCAAGTGTCGTTTCACCACGGCCCCTATTCTCACCCTGCCAGACCCCCACAGGCAATTTATCGTGGAGGTGGACACCTCGGACACCGGGGTGGGGGCAATCCTATCACAACGCAAGGACTCTGACATGAAACTTCACCCTTGTGCTTTCTTTTCCAGGCGTCTCACCCCCGCTGAGAGCAACTACAGCATAGGTGAGAGGGAGTTGCTGGTGATAAGATTGGCCCTGGCAGAATGGAGACACTGGCTGGAGGGAGCCGCATTACCATTTCTGGTTTGGACTGATCACAAGAATCTGGAATACTTGAGGACAGCAAAAAGACTAAACCCCAAACAGGCAAGGTGGGCACTGTTTTTTGATCATTTTAACTTCTCTCTTTCATTCCGCCCTGGACATAGGAACGGCAAGGCAGATGCCCTGACCAGGCAACATGATCTGTGAGAGGAGGAACACCACAAACCTGCCTATATCCTACCTCCTTCTGCTCGCCTTGGGGCCATGCACCTCGGCATTGAACAGGAGGTCTCAGCCACCCAAGCGACAGAACCGGGTCCTTCCACTTTCCCCCCTGATCGACTGTTTGTGCCTGCGACCTTGAGATCCAGAGTGCTCCAATGGTGCCACGCGTCCCGGTTCTCCTGCCACCCAGGCGTGGCCCGGACCTACTACATAGTGCAACGACGCTTCTGGTGGCCCACAATGCGCAACGACGTCAGAGCCTTCGTGGGCACCTGCCAGGACTGTGCCAGGAATAAGCCCTCATTGGGTTGACCCTCCGAGCTCCTGCACCCACTTCCTATCCCCTCAAGACCTTGGACCCACATAGCCCTGGACTTTGTCACCGGCCTGCCCCCTTCCAGACGGAACACCACTATACTCACTGTTGTCGATAGATTTTCCAAAATGGTTCACTTCATTCCTGTACCCAAGTTGCCCTTCGCCAAAGAAACTGCACAAGTCCTCCTCCAGCATGTCTTCCGCCTGCACGGCCTGCCCAGGGATGTTGTATCAGACTGGGGACCACAGTTCGTGGCACACTTCTGGGCTGAGTTCTGCTGACTTCTGAACATCACAGTGAGTTTGTCATCAGGGTTTCACCCTCAGACCAACGGCCAAGCAGAGAGGCTCAATCAGCAGCTAGAGACCGGGTTGCGACTACTATGTAGCCAGGACCCATCTCTGTGGGCAGACAATATTGTCTGGGGAGAATACGCCCAAAAGTCACTGCCCTCTTCTGCAACTGGTATACCACCGTGTAAATGTAACTATGGTTATTGTCCCCCCTTGTTCCCTAGCCTGGACCTGGAGATCCGGGCACCCTCAGCATCAGCCCTAGTACGCCGCTGCCGCCGGACCTGGAGGAGAGCCCGTCTGGTATTACTGCGGACGGTCAAGGACTATGCCAAGTGGGCCAACATACACCGCTCCAGGGCCCCTGAGTATAGACCAGGACAGAAGGTATGGCTCTCCACTCGAGACCTGCCCCTCCGGACTGAATGCCGTAAATTGTCACCTCGCTTTGTGGGGCCCTTTCCTGTGTCCAAACGGCTAGGCCCCGTGGCAGTTAGGCTCCAGCTGCCTCGCACACTCTGTGCTCACCCTTCTTTTCATGTGTCCAGAATCAAGCCCGTCCGCTCCAGTCCATTGGCCCCTCCTCCAGGTCCACCACCTCCGCCCCACTTCTTCAACGGTGGTCCAGTCTACACGGTGCGTCACCTCTTGAGGTCCCGCCGCAGAGGCCGGGGTGTTCAGTACCTGGTGGACTGGGAGGGGTATGGCCCAAGGAACGATCTTGGGTCCCCTCACGCCACATTGTGGACCCCTCTCTCATCCGGGACTTCCATCTGGCCCATCCGGACCAGCCCAGGTGCTGTCGTCGGGCATCCGGGTCGGGCGGGTCTTGATCCTGTTCCCCCTGCTGGTCTTGTCCGCACACTCTGTGCTCACCCTTCTTTTCATGTGTCCAGAATCAAGCCCGTCCGCTCCAGTCCATTGGCCCCTCCTCCAGGTCCACCACCTCCGCCCCACTTCTTCAACGGTGGTCCCG